TTTGCTTTGCTTTGCTTTGCTTTGCTTTGCTTTGCTTTGCTTTGCTTTGCTTTGCTTTGCTTTGCTTTGCTTTGCTTTGCTTTGCTTTGCTTTGCTTTGCTTTTTGAGGGGGGGCCTCATGTAGCCGCAGGGTGGCTGCAAACTCACTGTGTAGCCAAGGATAACTTTGAACTGCGGATCCTCCTACCTCTACCTTCTGAGGGCTAGGATTATAAGTCATGCACCATCACACCCAATTCATGTTGTACCAGAACTCAAATCCAGGGCAAGCCCTTTCTACCGACTGAGGTATGTCTCTAAATCATTATTCTAAAATCTAAAGATGTGAAATCACCAGCACAGCTAGGGAGGCAGTTCGGCCACTAAAGTACTTACCATGCCAGCATGAAGACCCAAGTTCAGACCCCCAGCACCGGTCATGAGTTCAGATCCCCAGCACCAATGAAAGCCAGGCATGGTGCATGCCTGGACCCAAAGTGCTGGGGGAGGCAGAGAAAGGAGGATGCCTCGCACTGACTCACTACCCAGTCTAGCCAAATCGGCACACTTCGGTGAGAGGACCTGTCCCAAGGGATAAGGTGGAGAGTGATTAAGAAAGTCGCCTGGCGTTGATCTCCGGCCTCCACTCGTGTGTACACGCAAACAGGTGTGTGCGTGCATACACAAAAATAAAAAGAAGAAAAGAGGTACTGTCAGATGGGTACCGTGAGGCACACTTATAGCCTGAGCACTCAAGAGGCTGAAGCAGGAAGGTCACGAGTTCAAGGCCAGCTTGGGCTGCAGGGTGAGGTGTGGCCAACCCTGACCACCTGGGGATGTGCTTGGAGGAAGCTTTCCCTTTTTCCTTCATGCTTCTCCCTTCCGGAATCTAACCTGCGTTGCTCCTTTCATTGTATTTGGGAAGCAGCTAAGATGTTCAGTTGCAACAGCTCACAAACAAGGAGGAATTTGCCTCAGGGCATCTCAGCCCCCACTTATCACCTGGATCTAATTTGAAAACACTCAAGGCTTTGGGGTTTTTTTGTTTTTTTTTTGAGACTTGTCAGGATGGAAAGGATGTAGTTTTTGTGTGAGAAGAACATGAATTGTGAGGGTCTAGATATGTGTGGAGCAGGTGGAACCTAAGGCTGGTGTGTGATGCAGCCTCGGCGATTAGCACCAATTGGAAGAGAGAAGGTTTGAGCCTGACTGCTCCTTCTCTCTCACGGTCAAGTTTTTCCTCTCAGATCCCTTACTCTCCTCCTTCCCTCCCCCTTCTTTCCCTCCTCTCCTCCCTTCTTCCCTCCCTCCAGCCTCTCAGCTGTTCCATCAGAAGATGATCCAGCATCCCTAGCCAGATGCTGGCCACCAATCTTACACTTCCTAGCCTCTAAAACTATAAGAATATTAAATCTCTGTTCCTTCAAAACTACCCAGTCTCAGCTATTCTATTACAGTAACACAAAACAGACTAAAGCGAGGCATTGTGACCAATGCCTGTGATCCCAGCCCTCACAAATCTGGATCCGGCAGACTTCACTGAGCTTAAGGACAGCCTGAGCTACAAGGTAAGACCCTGTCTCAAAACATCCACAAAGAAATAAAAGGCTGATTCATTCTTCCTGAACAGCCAGTCTTGACAAAGGGGCTGTAGTCGTGAAGGGTTGGGAACTCTGATCTCTATGACAGATCTGTGATTTCGATGATTTGGGTGAGAGGACCGTAATCACTGATGTTACTGAGTACGCCGAGGTTGACTGCTGGAGCTAATAAAAAAAGCCGTGCCCTCAGCAGGTGTGAAGGGCTCAGATCCCCCAGAAAGAGCCTGTCATAATCTACATATGACCTCAGCTGCCTGGGACCGGGGCACACACAACAGCAGACCCAGGCTGCACTAGTATTTTAGGGGATTCAAACAGGAACAGAAGGCTGTACCGGCCCCAAAAGCCAAATGAATGACCTGTTGCAGAGATTCTGAAAGGCACACAAACCTCACACTGTGGGCAAATATGATCACCCCAGAATAAGTCAGAAAAAAAAAAAATGGAAAAATAAAAGTGAGGATTCGGAACAAGGAGAAATTCTCTCTGGGCAGGATAGTAATAGAGTTGTTTTTTGTTTTTTTTGTTTGTTTGTTTGTTTTTGTTTTTTTTTTTTTCAAGGAAGGTAGGAAGAACTAGGAAAATTTGCAGTTGAGGTAGCTTTGAAAGAGTGGAGGACTTTGCACAGGAGGATGTTAGAGCGACAATGAAGCATACAGAGCGAGAGGCAGTAACCGCTGGCAGGTAGCAGTAGCTGAGACCTTTGAGCCAGTGATTACAGCTCGGTTTACAGTTTCATGGCAAACAGACCTCACGGTGTCTTTTTTCATTAGAAGAGCATCTGTTCTGAGCCAGGCATGATCGTGTATACCTAAAATTCCAGTGCTTTGGAGGCTGCAACAGGAAAATATCAAGTTCAAGGCTAGCCTTTACCACCTGGCAAAATCAGGAAGGGAAAAGAAAAAAAAAAAAAAAGCAAAACAAAAAATAGTCTTGGATAGGGATGAAGCAGAGCTAAATCAACTGGTTGGGAAGGTAAGGCAATAGGGCAGGGTAAAGTCATGAGGGATTGAGTTAAAGAGTTAAGTCTCAGATGGCCAAGCTTATGGAGGAGCCCCGTGTGATTTGACAATTAATGGAGCATGAAGGACAGAGGCTGAGAGGAGCCACAGATGACTTGAGCCTGGGTGACGTCAAGGTCGGAGATGCCATTAGAAAAGAGGTTTGGAGCACCAGCCCTTTGGGTATGGGTTATTTAAAGTCAGTTATTTCAGCACTGGCTCATCTGGGTTGAGGAACTCAGAGACCTAGGTAGAGGCTGCAGCACATAGGTATAAAGGCAAGAACCACAGAGAGGGGGCAAAGCTAGAGAAAGAGACAGCTTTCCATTTCTCCAAGAGCTAATGTTGATTAGGCAGGCTTTACAAGAAATACATCTTTTACAAGTTTAAATCATTTAATTTTTCCAGTCCTGGTGGTACAGATCTATCATTTCAGCTCCTAGAGAGGTTGAGAGAGGAGGACCCCGAGTTCAAGGCCTGCCTGAGATACATAACAAGCTCACAGACATCTTCGTAAACTTAATAAGACCCTGTGTCTCAAAATGTGAAAATAGAGCCAGGGATATAGCTCAGTGAGAGAGTACCTGCCTGGTATGCAGAAGGACCTAGTGCTGACAAAGGGGGCAACTTGCACTTAAGTGTTGACCAATAGTTGCATAAACCTAGCTTTAAATAATCAAAAATCCAAACACTGAGAAGCTGGGAAAGCCACACAAAGGAAAGGACAGGAACTGATAGGCTTTTTCTGCTGTAAGTTGTTCTCTCTCTCTCTCTCTCTCTCTCTCTCTCTCTCTCTCTCTCTCACACACACACAAGTCCACTAAGGTGGACCAACCACATAGTAGGCCATAGGAAAATATGGGCCGGGTCTTATTAGCTTGAATTGGAAAGATGCTTGCTAAGCATGTACAACAGCCATGATCCCCAACACCACATAAACTGATATGATAGTGTGTGCCTATAATCACAGCACTCGGGAAGTAAAGGAGAGAGCCCAAGGCCATCCTCAATTATATAGTGAGCTTGAGGCCAGCACGGATTACATGAGACCCTGGAGAGGAAGAAGAAAGAAAGACTAATTGTTTTTAAATGTCAATGCGCTTTCCCTCTTCTGACACGACCAAGGTCAGTTTCCAGGTCCTTAGCAAGCTCTAGTCTAGGTCTGAAGGAGGTAGGAGGGATTCAGATGAACAGTGAGCAAAGACATTGACACAAACCCCTATGGGATGCCCCTGCCAGAGTTCCACCCTTGGCCGAAACACAATCCTCTTCTCTGATGTAGCCCCTAAGTACATGGAAGGAGTGAGGCAGCTCCTTGGTTCCGTAAGAATTCTGACTAGGGAGCTGGAGAGATGGTTCGGCAGTTAAGAGCATTGGCTGCTCTTCCAGAGGCCCCAGGTTCAATTCACAGCACCCACATGGCACCTCAAGACAGGCTGAAATTAGATCCTAAGGATCTAATGCCCTCTTCTGGCCACTGCCAGCCCTGCAAAAAGATGGTATGCAGACATGCAGGCGGGCAAAATACCCACATACATAAAAATAATTTTTTACAAAGGAAAAGTACATAGCGGCTAGTACATAGCAGGGTGCATACAGCTCGGATCTGTGTCCACGTGATGCTCAACAGCCTATGGCCTTCAACTCCTCAGTGTAACCCCACGATGGCCCAGCAGCCCCCTTCTGCAGGTTTTACTGAAGCCTGATAATTGTGCCCAGTTTCTACAGGGCGCAGGGTCCCTCTCCCAGGATATCTGAAGTCACATTGCTTCAGGGAATTTACAGAGAAACTGAAGCAGAGAGGGAGAACACAGGAAATCTGACTCCTAAATTGTGTGATCTGCCCACTAGATGGCAGTGTCACCTAAAACCGCCCTACAGAGAGGAGTGAACTCGCCTTCCCTGAGGAGCCAGTAACTCCTGCAGAACAGGCACTCCCGGCCAGCATTTGCTATGGACTGTAGCATTTAGTTTGTAAAAGTTCCACTGGTCGGGCTCTATTATCCCTCGAGCTGTATTTTAAAATATCTAATAGACTTAAACCTTGAACTCATCCACAATTTTTCTACTGAAGACCTCAGAAATCATCCCATTAGAATACAAAATTCGGCAAACTTTTCCTGTAAAGGACCAGCTAGGAAATACGCCCTCTCTCTTCTGGAAGTAGGCAGTCTCTGTCCCAGCTACCCACCAGCCTGCAGCCTATAAAAACAGCCATGAACAGCAGAGAAAGCCAACTGGCAGGGCTGTGTTCCACTAAATCTCTCCAGAATAGACAGACAGACAGCCGGATTTGGCCTGGGATCTAATGGTAGCCTGGGTTCATCATATTCATTTTTCAAGAACTTGGTGAAGTAAGATTAAAACAGGCAAAACAAGCAGAGCTCTCCATTTGCCCAAGGGTGAGTTAGAATTAATGTCAGGTTCCCCAAGCTTCCAATCTTCTCTGTCCCTCTTTATACAGCACAGAGAAGGTCAAAACCCTCAAACCCTGGCAACACAGCTTCGCAGAGAGTAAGGGACCAGGAAACCTGATTCCGGGCCAAGCTCTTCTACCAACACGACCATCAACAGGCCGACTGTCCTCTCTCAGGACTCAGAGACAGACGTGAAACGGGTAAGGCTAGCTCTAGTGACCTCTCAAGAGCGACAAGCGACACTGGCGCTGCTCTAGGATCAGCCCCGCCCACCCAACACTCACTTGACAGCGGTGGTGAGGCGCAGGGGCCTGACGCCGGGTGTGGCAAAGCGCAGGGTGTTCATGTAAGCCACATGCTGGAGGGCATGGTTGAAGGTCTCCACATCATCCCCCTCCAGGGTGAGCAGGGACTGCGAGGGGTTCACGTGGACCTGGGTCCCAGACACAGACATAGCTGAGAGCAAGACAGGGAGGCAGGGGAGGAGAGGTACGGAAGGGTAGAGGGGTGGGGGGGGGGGGGGGGGAGCCGGGGGGGGGGGGGGGGGGGAGGGGCATGCCGGGAGAGAGAGGGAGAGGAAGGGACTATACCTTCATGCCTTTGCCTAGGCTCTCGAAATCCCTATAGTCCAGCCCCTCCCGACATGCATAGAGGCACTCGATGACCTCACGGCTCTCCAGGCGACCTGAGCGCACGCTGAAACCAGCCAGGTAGCCGTGGAAGTAGTGGTGGATCAGCAAGGGGTCTCCTAGGGCAGGAACACAGGGGCAGGCCAGGTGGTGAGAAGAGAAAAGAGGAGCCGAGGAGAGGTGGGCCGAGGATGGGGCTGACAGGAAGGGGAAAGGAAGAACCGACAGAAATGGGGATGAGAGGGCGGGGTGGAGAAGACAGAGGAGGCGAAAGGCAGGACAGAAGTTTTGCCTAGCGTATGTGAGGCTCTGCGTTCCATCCCCCAGCACCACACACAGGAGGAAGAAAAGTGAAAAGGGGAGGAAGGAAAACACAGTGAGGAAAAAGAGGAGGAGAGCAGGAAGGGAAGAAGAGTGGACAAGTAAAACGTTCTGAGAGGAGGGAGGAGGAAACCACAGTGAAGAGGAGGAACCTTAGGACCCAAGAGGCAGTGAGGGTCCAGAGTGTAAGAGGGAGACATCTTCCCAGGGACATGTGGGGGGACCAGGATGATTGTGTATGAGCTTCATAGATGCCTAGACTCCTGCCACCTGCTTTCTGCCATGTAGATAGTCAGCAAGAGAAATGTTACCATATTCTTTCAGCAGAAAAAGAAGAAGAAGAAAGAGAGAAAGAAAAGAAAAGAAAAGAAAAGAAAAGAAAAGAAAAGAAAAGAAAAGAAAAGAAAAGAAAAGAAAAGAAAAGAAAAGAACCACCCAGAATCCAGCCAAGCTATGCCCAGCCTTCCTGCTCTGAGGATGCTCTGCCTTGATATGGCTTAGAGACTGTGCCATGCTGGCCTGTGAAGCAGGAACTGGAAAGGCTGCATTGGGGCAGAAAGAGACAGAAGCACATGTAAGACAGTTGAGATTAGAACTCTGGTCTCCAATTCTTATGCACAGTGTACCTGAGGTTGTGTCTGTACTGTTTTCTCCTCCTTTTTCCTTCTCTTTGTTCTTCTCTTCTGCAAACCAAGGGGGGGAAAAAGTGGCAGTGAGCTGAGGGCTGTGACAAGAAATCCTGTAATTCTCCTAGGTCCTCATATGCTGTGTAGGATTTGCAGGCTCTGAGCAGATTCCCAACCCTGTCATGCCATCCCCCAGTCTTGCGGGCCTCTGTTATAGATTATTCTATTGCAGCGGAAACAGGACTCTGGTAAGATGGCTACGCAAATGGAAGGACTAACAGTCCTCTGAAGGATTCCCATCCTCCTGCTAGGGAGAGGCTGTGGACATCATCATCTCCTTGAGGGAACAAAGTTGGGAGCTGGCTGGAGTTACTATAGATTTGGGGGTAGGAATTCCACCAAGCTTAAGCTGCTGGCCTACACAATGGGGAGGGGGCACCGGAAGTGGAGGTCTCCTCCAGCAGAGATCTGTCAGGGCAGAGTCACCTGCCTAGCTGTACGGAGATACAGGGGACAGCCTCCGCAGAGGGGCAGGCCACCCTTGCGTCTCACCTGACCACCTCCCCTCACAGCCCTAGAGCCACTGAGTCGTTACTGAGAAGGTCAGAGGACCCACCAGTCCAGCAGGCCCCAATCATGAGCGCAGGTTCCCTCCTGGGTGGGTGGATGAGACCATTGTCATGGATGAGAGCAGGGTCGAAGGAGATACCATCGGTATAGAGCGTGACCGTGGGGAACTCAAGATTCAGGGCATAGTGGTGCCATTCGTCGTCACATACCTGGGAGTGCAAAGCGAGGGTGAGAGCCCCTCAGTTACATGCTCTTTGAGGAACTAGTCCCAGCCGTACTCCATGTCCTGGAGAACCTTGTCCAAAATCTACAGGACAAGCAACCTAGTACAGAAAACTCCAGGAGCCACAGAAACATGTAAAACTAGAAGCAGAGCCACAGAAACATGTAAAACTAGAAGCAGAGCTAGCCACAGGAGTATGCCTGAAGTCCAGTGACGCAAGAGGATGAGGCGGGAGGATCACTTGAGTCCAGGTTAGCCTGGGCAACACCACAAACTCCTGTCTCAACAATAGTAATAACCCAAACTACGTTGTAAATGAATTTTTCCAGCGATGTTTATAAATAAAAAATGGGTGGCATCATGATTTCCAGGGTGGTTTCTAACCCATCAGAAACCTCTGCGACATCAACCGTTTACCTCTGCTGTTTCTCCTGGAGTCATTAAAATGGAGGAGGAATGTGCCAGGGAAGGAATGGAGGTCTCTGCCTTACCAACGTCCCAGGGAGCCCTCAAGGCTCAGCTCAGGCCCTCTCCCCTCCCCGCTCTGCACCGTCTTCCTAGGACTACCCTGGTTCACGGGGGCTCAGACTCCACATTTACACTGATTAATACCGCTTTGTCCAGCCCAGAGCTCTCCCCCTATTCCGAGCCTTCCATTCAGATGTTCCACGGCCATCTCAAATCTAACAGGCACAGACAGTCACCATTATGCTTTCCAGCTCCACCACCCCCACAGCCACACCCTCAACCTAAACCACCAACAGGTGCTGTCAGCTCAGAGCCAAGCTGCGTGCGACTCTCCGGCTCCACGGTCACATATCAGTGAGTCCCCAGGCCCTTTCTGTGAATAGTCCCCACAGTTCCCTCTGCTGACTTACACGCCTCTTTTCTTCTCTGTACTGGAGATAGAACCTAAGGCTTTGAGTTTCCAGCAAGCACTCTACCTCTAAGCCCACCCTGGTCCGGTCTTCTTCTGACCTTTTATTTCTGCTTTGGTTGGTTGGGTTTGGATTTGTTTGCTTGCTGGCTGGCTGGTTGGCTGGCTGGCTTTGGACAGGATCTTTCTGTGTGGCCCTGGCTGTTCTAGAACTCACTTTGTAGACGCTGATCAGTAGCTTTGCTCAAACTCACCAAGATCCACCTGCCTCTGCTGCTGGAGAGTTGAGATTAAAGGTGTGAGCCATGAGCCATCATGCCTGATGGTTTGGATTTTTTGAGCCCAGCTCTCAAGTTGCCTCAGTCTCACCATGACCTTGAACTTCTGATCCTCCTGCCTCAGGCGGGTACTGACACCTGGTTTTATGTGGTACTGGACATTGAACCTAGAGCTTTTATCCCAGTCTCCCTTATATCCCATCCTCCACACCCAAACTACCAACTCTCATCTCAGAGCCAAACAAAATTAACAGCTGTGGGTTTCTATGTGGGACTCTATACTCTGCCAGCTGAGCTCTAACCCCAGATGATGATGATGATGATGATGATGATGATGATGATGATGATGATGA